ACGGCTTGCCGCGGTTGAAAAGTCAAAGTCAAATGCAAGACATAATACAATAAAACAATTCAACTACAAGAAACAAGAGCAACAACGGCGGACGAACAATAATCGCAGAAAGGAAAACAAGTTTTCACTTTTATATTTTTGAGTTACTCGGGTTTCCTCTCCTCGATGGTGGGGAGGCTTTTCATTTCCAAACGCGATTCAATTGCAGTTGGTTGTTGCCAGCGTTGTTGTAGTTGTTGGTTGTCGCTTGGGCAAATTGTGGCCATAATGATGAATTGCATAAGCCGGAATCGTAATCAGTAACTACGACCGCTTCAGTTGCTCATCCGCTTTTGGTCATACAGTCCAACTTAAATAAAACAATTTATTACCCAAGGTTCAAAATTCCCAATTGCAAGTTAGGTCTGACCAAAAAAAAAAGGTCTTTGTTAAAGGAAAGTGGCATTTTTTGTCCAGCATATACATATGTATTTGCATCCAAACATTTGTTGAAATAATTTTGCATTTTCATTATTATTTCTGGAAGTGATTTTTAAAGTCATTATTATTTCTGGAAGTGATTTTTAAATTCGTAGTAAACTTTTTGCGATAAAGAAAATAACTTTTTATTGTGAATAAATGTAGTTTCAAAGAAAAAAGGCATTAAATGTAGCTCAGATTTGTTCAGTTTGTTGCTTGGTATATGTGTCATTTACGTCCTTCAACTTGAGTTATTTTCGTTAAAAAAAATAGGTTTTGACTTAGCCAATCTCCCCTGTGATCGCGTAGATCAGGCAAAAACCTGATGCCACTCTCCTTATCTCCGGCTCCCCTCTTTTTCCGCAGATTTTCGCAGGAGCTGAGGCTTTTTTCGAGGAGCCAGCTTATCGGGCTTGCGAATTACGCGCATTTAAAAATCTCCACACAAAACATGACCATAAAAGGAGTCGCTTGGCAACCCAAAAAAAATAAAAACAAAATATCAACGAAACGTACACAAATGGCTATTTGTGGCGTAGTAAAACAACAACACGAAGTGCGATGATTACGTATCAAGCACATGGCCGACGCCCCTCCTTATTTTGCACCCTCCGCCATACAATTATTGCCCCTCCCCCGACAGTTGAAAAACTTTTCATTCATTCACCCACCGCCTGCTTGCTCCCATTTTACCCTATGGGTTATGGATATATCAACAGATCCATAGGTTTTGCTATAGATTTTGCTATAAGTAAGCAAAGGTTGCTGCCCATCTAATCTTTATCAAGAAGATAAGGAGAAGCAAAAGTGCTATGGCATAATATTAGACTACTATTTATTTAGTTAACGCTATATTTTCTTTTAGATAACGATGCGGGTTAGAAAAAGTGCAATTACCTTTATAAAAAGAGAAGAAAAAAAAATATAACAAAAAATTAAATCCATTTAACATCGGGTTCAAAGTCACTAGAAGTACTTTGTGATTAATTTTTTTATAAAATACAAGTGTGATTCTTCATAACTTTTTCACTACAGCTTTATTAACGTAAAAACCAAAAATAAATGTTTATCTTAATTTAAAGATTTTACAATTATACATCGATGACTTATTCATTATTGACAGTCGCGATGTAGGTATAAAGTATATATACTTTTAATAATGAAACTTTGATAAATATTAAACCATATATATAGAGTATTCTAGAGTATTTTCGAATCGGATTGGACCCATTCGCCATCTGTTCTTTTTGACTTTGATAGCTAGGTTGTGTGGCCTTGCTGCCTACTTTTTTGTCGTTTTTTTTTTGCAAATCTAATCCAAATGGGAAGCGAATACCAGAAATGGGAATGCGTTTTCAATTGGAATTTACATGTTATGCTATGTAGTTGACCTAATCGTAATTTGAGCAAACAAATGTATAGCGTAGAACAGAATTATCTGCTACAATGGCGATTAATTTAGAGCTTGTTTTTTCAGGGCTTGTGTATGGCAATGAATTAGTTTAATTATATAATATACAAATAGAATTAGATTATTCACTTAAATGGTGTTTTATGCTGAAGAATCTTTTAAAGCCATCTGTGCAAATTTTAAATATTCAACAGCTGCTGGGATTTGCAGAGCCTGGAAGTCTGCTCACTTCATTAAAAAATTTTGATGTGTCAGAGGGCTTTGGATGGTCCATCAATCAAGCCAAGATTAATAGCGTGCAATCGCGGTTAATATTTTTTTCAGTTTCTTTTTTTTAAGGTGTCTGAGCTCATCAGTGACAATTTATCAATCATTAACCCAACCCAAATGGGCAAACATGTGATGAGGCCGAGGGTTGATGATCCAAAGAGGAAAAAATAACCAGTAATTAGAAATTCATAGATAAAAATCAAGTGAAATATGAAGCCCCATATATGTACATATAATTTAAACATATGAGTGGGGCAATACCAAAAATCCACTGGGGTAGTGCGAAAGAGAGATGGAAAAGAGGATCCCAAAAGGGCTCTGGATACAAATGCCATCCCTCCATGGGAGTGAGTGAGACAGTACCCATGGACATGCTAATCACGAACACAACGAAACGATATGAACAAAACAAAACCGAAAAAGAACGAGAGAAACCCACAAATAAAACCCGATTCGACAAAATCCGCTGCCTGCTGAACTTTCTCGGCGCCTGTTCAAATAAGTTTCAAATTTTGACAAATAAAACCATGGTTTTGTAATTTACGAGCATTCCGAGCTATTTTCATAATGATTGAGCGCGAGTTGTTGAGTGGAGTGTTTGCAGTCCCCGATTCTCGGTTTGTCGGGTTCTCGGGTCCCAGTTCCCAGGGGAGTGAAATAAAAAAACAAAATAAGGACCTCTCCATGTCTCTTATTTATTCTGCTTCTCTTTCTGTCCCAGCTTCACAAGCCGTGCAATAAAACGGGATTATGAACGAGTGTGTTTTCGGTGTCTACTGTTTGTTTGTGTATACCCAGATACAGTAGGACTTCCCTAAAATATTCTATCGTGAATCTGTTTTCACTAGTTTTCGAGAAGAAAATGCTGTAGCAAGAGAAATCGACTAAACTAAAAGTTCTTCCCTAAAGATAAGGTTGTTAAAGAAACTATATTTCCTACATCGAATCATTCTCAACCACTTGTTACAATGTTATTAAAATGTATAAAGCATGTTCTAAGGTGTTCACATAAGCCACGTTCTACTGTAGGTAGGGAGCCTTTTTTAACCAGTTGGTAGGGACAGGAGGTTGCTCCGGGTGCTGGCTGGAAGGGGTGGTTGTTGGTGCCTAAAGAAGCTGCATCCGACGGACGGAATGTGTCTAGACGTTTGATTACCGGGACAGACGCAGACGCAGATGCAGATGCCGCGAGGTCGTGGCACAGTGGACTTAAACCGAAGTTTAAGCTGGGCTCTAATCGTAATTGCCCCCGATTCTTTATGCCACTTTATTGGTTTTTTGGGCTTGGCTTGACTCGAGCTGACATAAAGTGTTTGCTTATCAGCGTTTTTTTCGTTCCCAGGCGGTCATTGGTAATGTGTCTGTTGGTCTTGTCATCGATGACACAGTGGTGTGAAGTAGATAATGGGATAAGTGCGAAAATGGGTGGGTAATTATGATGGGAATTTATGGCACCGAGTCCGAAGACGATTAGACAATCAGAAAACTATATTAATGTAATTCGGGAGTGCGAAGTATCCGGATAGCATTTAGTATAAGTAGCCAACAAAACCAGTTTACAAAATAATACAATTTAACAAGACTCAACCAAATCAATAACAAAACAATTTTTATTCGATATCTTTCAAAAATACTTTTCCTCGGACTCAATTGGGCATTATTTATCTAAGTAGGTTTTTAAGTATTATTTCAAGTCTTCACAATAAGGCAAAAATTAAAAGATTAAAATACATTTTATGTAATCTCATCCAGGAAAATCTTGAGATGAAAACAACCCCAGTAAGTGATCGTTTAGGGAGAAGGATAGAATAGTTCTGCTTCATAATCACTTATATCCGGTCTATAGCGTTAGGAATCGAAGATTATTAGAAAACAAGGATCTACGGTAACCAATCCGGTTTTGGGATTACGCCATCAAGCCGGTTTATGAACCCGGTTCTGGCCCAAATGCTCAAATCGCATTCCTGAATTCGCCACACACTATCGGTTTTGGGTTCTCAATTCTCAAGGTAACTCGATGCTAACCGATTCCCGCGACAGGGAAGAAGGCACGTAATCTTGTTCAGGGTTGTTGGCAATCGGAATCTGGCTCTTTTCTACCTGACTACATTTGCGCATATTATTCAAAGCGTCAGTTTTTTTCCCATTTCGTCGCAGTGCATTAATCATCATTGTGTTACCCCCTTCCTTTGTTGTTTTGTGTGCATTTCAAATCCCTTATTTCACAATGAATAAAAATATCTATAAATTGCTTAATATTCAGATATCACTCATGAGACTGGGTTGTTAACAATCTTTGACTTCAGTTTGGTTTGAATAAAATGCATAAGCTCTTTGTTATAATATTTACAAATTAAAAAAAAATTATATATACATATATATTATTTTTAAGTTTTACAATTATACGAAATTTAATTAAACTTCAATACTTTAAACTATTAAAGATATTTAAAGAGATTTATCTTAAATTTAGAATGTTCACTGAAGAATTCTTAATAGGCTTTATACAACTAAAAACAAAGTTCCCTTCTATACTATTCTTTAAAAAAAAAGATAGCAGAAAGATATGGTAAATAATCTTGAAGCTTGTAATGATTTTGATACCTATGGCAACCACTGTGCCGCAAAAATCAAGGACTCTCGATGGCTGAGCTAAATTTTTTGCACATTTGCGGGTTACTTTTTGCACAAAGGTCAAAGAGGCGCAAATCAAAAGGCGAGGCATTGAACGGGGGGCCTTGACTTTTGCACTTTTGCCAAATGTTCTTTGCAGCCCAGGACAGGACATTCAGCAAACGGACGAAAAGGACAAACAAGCTGAAAATATAAAGCAAAATACCGAAAGTTGGTCCAAACTCACCACGAATGCCACAAGAGCCTGTTTAAAAGTGTGGTAAAATCCCGGCGGAGAGTTGGGGGTGGTGGAGATGGATAAACTGGAATTTCTGCCTCTCGACGATGTTTTGATTTTTCGCTATCTCTCTCTTTCGCTCAGCTGCTTCTGCTTTTTGGTTTGTTTATGTGTAATCCTTTTGTTTCTTTCGCTTTTGGCGCGCAATTTCCTTTTGTTTTTGTTATTGTTGTTACTGCTGGGCAATTTGCAATGCAATTTTCCAACACACGCGAAACCGTTTTGTTGTTGCCTTTGTTATTGTTGCGTTGGCCGTGTGATTGCGGTTATAGATGTTGTTGTTATTGTTGCTAGTTGCTGTTGTTTCTTTGGCAATTTTTTTTCACAATTTGCATTTCACGTTTTTTTGCAGCAGCTTCGACGACTTTGACTTTGTTGCACAAACACACTGAGAAACACAGACACACACACTAACGAACCGAAAACAACAACAAAACAATCCGAGGAAGCTGCTGGCGTCTTTTCCTTTTTATTTTTCCCAAGATTACAAATCCGATTTTACTGCCTGATTTATTGTGGTTGCGCGAATTTATCGCTATTTCCGCCGTCAGTCATTCGAAATCAAAAATTACGGAGCGTCTTATGTGATTACATTAATAAATCATCACAAAAATACTTGTTCTTTGAAAAACAAAATATCATCTCGTGTTATTTAGCGCGACAAATCGGTTTCCGACGTTTTCTCGTTTGTTGTTTTTTTTTCGCTCGAAAAATTACAGATTGTGCCGTTTGCGAGTTGCTTTTATAGATTTTTCGCTGGCTTCCATGTTGCAGCAGCATGTTGCTGGCTCTCTTTTGCTCTTCCACGCTCTCGCAACATTAGTCGTGTTTTAACCGATTTAGCCAATGCAGGCACCATAAATGTTAATTTTTAAATTCGATGTTACTTTCTAAAATAACATTTGTTGCAGATTTTAATAACTAAAACAAAAACAGAAACAAATCGACCTTTAAACGTATGTAAAAAAAAATAATTATACCATTTTTACCTTTCACTGTGACCTTTTTATATATTCTACTTTCCGTTACTGAACCAACTATGAAAAATATCTAACTATCTTCGAAGTTACAAGCTAGCATTGACGCACACCAGACAAACACATCGGTATAATTCGGATAATTTCTCTGTCTCTCTTGGTCAAATTCTCCTTTACCATTTTATAGCATTTTAAAGACATTTAAATTATTATTAATTTTAATCGTTAGCTACAATTATTGAAATTAACCTCATTTGTTTTTTGTTGCTACAAAAACCTCGAATCGTTTTCTTATTTTCAAGATACATTTTGTTGGTGGGAATTGGCACTTAGCCAAGTTAAAAACCAAACAAATTACATGTATAAAATATATAAAATATATTTTATTTAAAGTTTTAAAACTTAAGACCAAATAAATGCTGGCTTATAGTTCACGGAAAGCTAAGGCTAAAGAAGGACGTAGTCTAAATCATAGTCTCTGAAAATATCAAGTAATTGAAAGGTACATTAAGTTATAGTTATTACTTGTTATGCTCATTTTTTCAGAACAGTACAGACAACGATCACAATCAACTCATTTTTACCAAAACCACCGACGATTAATAAAATAGCGCCGATAAATAAATGATTCAAAAACCGATAGGCGCACTGCATTTAAAATTTCACTTGCAAAAGCTTTTCATTTGAGCTTTGAATTTCTGGTTTTCAGTTTGGTTCGACTCGACAAACAAGTCGGTTGTTATGTTTCTTCGCAGGCGGTGAATTTTTCGTTGCGTTGTCTTTATAACAATAACAACAAGTGATTATTCCTTAAAGACAAGTTGTGTTTAAGTGGCTTAGCATATGGCTAAAACATAAGGGTTACCGATACCCCTTTTTTTATGGCTCGAAATTCGAGACATTTTTAGATTTACTTCATTTTGGGTTATTATTTTGGCCAGCTCCCCCTCCCCCCCTCCAGTCTTCCTCATTCTCGGCGCCACAATGGTGCGGTGGAGCGCTCGGTCACGACGTCAAGCGCGCCAGGATAAAGTGGAGCTGTTGGCCAGCAACAACAAAGTGAATGGCGAGGACGATACGTCAGATAACGGTACGTGCCAGGGGGAGTGTCCGCAACCCGCCGAAAAGGGGTCATTTGAGTAAAAGTTCCCCAAAACATCACATTATCCAATGCTCATCATACACGAGTAAAATATACTTATTCAAAAAATGTTTAAGTAATCGGTTTGGTGAATAAAATAAAGTTTAAAAACACATACACAGGAAAACATTAAACATTATTAATAACATTTAGTGATTTATGTCATTAATCATGCTACATAAAAAAGCAAAGTAAACTTAATAAAGAAACTTAAATAATTATTTGTATGTAAAAACCAAACCGTCAGTGAATTTCAGCCAATAAGTGCCAAAAAAATATTCAAAGCGAAGAGTTAAATAATATACACGCAAAGTTTTGTTGACTGCTAGTTACAAACTTATATTTTATTTAAATAAATTGTCTACTATATTATATATAAAAGATATACCCAATTATTTTGTTTTTAACAAAATAGATGGACCATTTATGTCTCATACAATATATAAGAATTCATATAGTAGTAGTACCTTATACCAAAAGCTCAGAAATTGAATATTGCTAAAAAGAATAATAGTTAGACAAATTGACCATTCAATAATCTACGATTCGCAGCAGTTAAAGAAGCTTAACTGCCTTTTAAGAAACCTGTTTGCAATAATAGAAATTTTTGTATTTCACCAGCAGTTCACAAACAAATATTACAGTACTTGTTTGACAGGATAAATCAGTTTTAAAAAATTATCTAACACCTTTCAAAAAAGAATAGCATTTTTTAAACAATGTAAAATTAAACAAAATGAAATTTCATTAATTTAGACATAATATTTTGTAACTTGGAAAATAGACTCATTTTAAACAGAAATTATATTGTATAATCAGAATACTGTATATCAAATGTACTTTCTATTCAAAAAACAATCCCTCTTCTAAAAATCAAGATGCGCCCTTGTTGGTTGTATTATAAAACTAGCATAAAGCTGCTAAAACGATTGTCATTTCGTCTGTTTGTGATTGCAATTTTACGACTGTGGTTTATCTCGAACACTTTACTTTCGTTCTAGCCGCCTTCCGCAACTCGACGGACCTATCCGACCACGATGAGATCTTCCTCAAGGGATTACTGCGCAGCAATCCCAGCACGCCCCACAAGGAACTGATGGTAAGTAGACCAGAACATATAAACGTAAAAAGTCGAGGAAAAATAACTCGGTACAATTTCTGACCCACTTATTTGACTTCGAGCATCTGCTCAATAAGAAAATTGCGCATACGTTTTTCCACACATTTTCCATTCACACCAATACACACATTCGCAATTTGTGTTTACTTTATCGATGGCATTGCATGCTGATTTTCGGTCTAGATAGAATTTTCCGGGCTGGCAATATGTGCGTGTGTTTGCTTTCTTTATTACATCATTTTCTTTGCCTCCCACAAGCAAAATAAAAAATGAAACCCTTCTCTGTAGATTTTCTGGCCTAAGCCATATACACTTCAATTGCTAGCCATCTCTTTTGTCTTTTGTGGCAATTATTATGGCCCATTAGTACTGGCTTTTTTTTTTCCTTGCCTTCCCACTTATGTATTTTCGCACTAAACTTGACCTCTATTTCTTCGCAAGATGAGTTTAGTTTTATGCAGATGGTGAGAGATTGTTATTAGATCATCGTGTTATAACCATGGAAGTGGAAATTAGCTTGACCTGAAATATTTTTTTGATTTTTTCAGTTTTCTTCATCAGAAAAACAGCCCGAAAGTTTGTAACTTAATTAAATTGTAAATATATTTGGCTGTTTAAGCGGCAAACACGCAAATAAACTATGAAAACAATGAGTTGGTGTTATCATAAAAATAAAATCGAATTGGATTTACTCTGTAAAAAGCTATTAACACCAATATGTATTATATAATGAATGATTTTTTAAGTTCTGAAAAGTTAATAAAATTATGAATTACAGAAAAGATATTTAAATTCTCTGTGAGGTTTTAAAATTGACAACTAGTTCATTACCTTTTTATGTCTTCAAATTTTCATAGTTAATTGCAGAAAATGTTTTAAATAGTAAATAAAAACCATAATCTCCCTAATTATAACTCCAATAAAATAATGTGAGTAAACCTAAGCCAAAAGTTATTATAGCCTTAAACAAACATTGGAGAAACAATAAAAAACCAAAACACAGAAAATATAATGGAAAGCGACATCGCGTGACGCAGATAATTAGAATCCAACATTTTCCGAGGTATTTCCCTGGGCAGGTTCATTCGATTGTGGTTTTTATGCTGCGGTTGGTGGCTGTTGAGAAAGGCAGTGAAAGTAATTAGCCTACGAGTCACGAGACAAGAAAATATGAAATGTCACTTACCACTTCCCAATTTCGATTACCCCAAACTCTCCTGTCGTCACCGCTCCTTCGAACACTCCCCCATTTTATGCAGATTACATAAAACGGGGAACAAGTCGCCGTGTCAACTCTTTGACATCAACGCCCCAAAGAAGTTGTGTGTATTTGAGTGTGAATAAGAAAACCGGTTTGGAAACATATTTTCAACGTAAACACGACGCTTTTTATGTTACCTGAGCTCGAAAACGATGCACAAAAAGCGCTTTACTTGTTGGCCTACTAATGCAGTTGTGGCTTATAGAGGTTCAGAAAGAGCGAAAGACTTACCAGCAAAGATTGAAATCGGACTCCGATGCTGGTAAGATCACCAATGCACTTGGTAACAATGTAAAAGAAATGCATGTGTGCTATAGAAATAAAATAAATTTTAATCTAAAAGCGACATAATTTGTTTAACTGGTTAAAGTTTCATATTTAAGTTTTTCCCAGGGTCATAACTTTTCCCCTGAAATGTGATTTTGGAGCGCCTTGCTTCTAAAAGCTTGTGGCTATTTTATTCTTTATTTGAATTCTTTTTAAAGTTTGTGGTTTGGTCTTTTTCATGTTGTTGACCTTATGAAAATTTCCTACAATCGTTTTGCAAATGAGTTGCTTATAACAGCACTTCGGAGAATATTGCTTGATATCGAATTTTGAATTGACGATTGGATGTTAAATTTCGCAAAAGCTTTTAAAAAGGATTTCAATAACTAACGTGGTTGCCTAAATTTGTGTTTATACTGTCCAAAAATTTAAAATTAATATTAAGAACTGCCAAAAATGTTTCACAAAAATGTTCGATTTTTCACATTTTTTTAAGCCAACTGAAAACTTTTTAAAAATTGACTAAAATCTTAAATTTTTAGTGAAACCCAGACAAAACTTTGGTAGAATAAAATTAGGATATTAAATAAACAACAACACTTTTAGATGTACAACATTTGCAGGAACAATTTCAAGGAGTTGTTTCTCTGTGTGCAATGCACACTGTGCATCCCTAGCATAACCTTAACATAAAGAGAGGGCGTCTCTCTGTGAGCGCCAGCTTAGCATTTGAGCCTCTGTAAAGAATAAGCTAACATGTAAATAACATAGCTGCGTACAGTTGTATATTAACTTATGTAGAGCTTTTATACACGGCAAGCAGGTGAGAGCGAGAGAGGGCGATGCAGTAAAGAGATGGCAACAGCTAGCCCTAGCTCGCTCACTAACTCGCCGCTTGTGAGTCAGTTACTTGCGAGCAGTGCTAAGGTGAGGT